GCCAAAACTGGAACCAACTCAGATGTCTTTCCATGGGTCAATAAACAAACTGGTACATCCATGTGAAGTAACATTACTCAGCAACAAAAAGGAATGAACTAGCGATATACACAACAATCTGGATGAATTTCCAGAGAATTATGCTAAGTGAAAAAAGCTAATCCTAAAAAGTCACAGAGCATATGATTTAATTTGTATAACATTCTTGAAATGACATTATAGAAATGGAGAACAGATTAGTGGTTGCAAGGGGTTAAAAGAGGGTTTGGGAGCAGAAGGGTAGTGGGTGTGCCTATAAAAGGTCAATATGAGAGATCCTTGTGATGATGGAATTGTATCAATGTCAATGTCTTGAGTTTGATATTGTACTACAGTTTTGCAAGATTTTATCATTGGGGAAACTAGGTGAAGGGCACATGGGACCTTTCTGTATTATTTCATTTCTTTTCTTTTTTTTTGAGATAGGGTCTTGCTCTGTTGTTGCCCAGGATAGAGTGCAGTGGCGTCATCATAGCACTGCAACCTCATGCTTCTGGGCTGAAGCAATCCTCCTGCCTCAGCCTCCCAAGTAGCTGGCACTACAGGTGCGTGCCATGACGCCTGGCTTATTTTTCTATTTTTAGTAGAGATGGAGACTCGCTCTTGCTCAGGCTGGTCTCAAACTCCTGACCTCATGTGATCCTCCCACATAGGCCTCCCAGAGTGCTAGGATTACAGATGTGAGCCACCACACCCAGCCAGACAACATGATCTTACATATAGAAAATTCTAAAAGCTCCACCAAAAAATTCTTAGAACTGATCAACAAATTTAGTAAAGTTACAGGACACAAAATCAACATACAAAAAATCAGTAGTATTTCTATACACCAACGGTGAATTGGCAGAAAAAGAAATCAAGAAAGTAATCCCATTTATAATAGATATGCAAATAAATAAAATATCTAGGAATAAATTTAACCAAAGAGGTGTAAGATCTCTATAAGAGTATTAATTAATTAATTAGACAGAGTCTCACTGTGTTACCCGGGCTAGAGTGCCGTGGTGTCATCTTAGCTCACAGCAGCCTCAAACTCCTGGGCTCAAGCGATCCTTCTGCCTCAGCCTCCCGAGTAGCTGGGACTACAGGCATGTGCCACCATGCCCGGCTAATTTTTTCTATATATTTTTAATTGTCCAGATAATTTCTTTCTATTTTTCGTAGAGACAGGGTCTCACTCTTGCTCAGGCTGGTCTCGAACTCCTGACCTTGAGCAATCCTCCCGCCTCAGCCTCCTAGAGTGCTAGGATTATAGGCATGAGCCATCACGCCCGGCCTATAAGAAAAATTATAAAATATTATTGAAAGAAACTGAAGAGGACAGAAAAAAATTGAAAGACATCTTATGTTCATGGATTAGAAGAATGAATATTGTGAAAATGACCACACTACCAAAAGCAATCTGTAGATTCTATGCAATCCCAATCAAATACCAATGACATTCTTTATAGAAATAGAAAAAAAAAAATCCTAAAATTCATATGGAACCACAAAAGAACCCATACAGCTAAAGCAATCCTAAGCAAAAAGAACAAGGCTGGAGGTATCACACTACCTGACTCCAAAATATTATAAAACAGTATGATACTACCATAAAAACAGACAGACCAATAGAACAAAATAGAGAACTCAGAAATAAATTCACATATTTATAGCCAATTGATTTTTGACAAAGGTGCCAGGAACATTCAATAGGGAAAAGACAGTCTCTTCAGTAAATGGTGCTGAGAAAACTGGATATTCATATGCCAAAAAATTAAACTGGAACTCTATCTCTTACCATATATAAAAATCAACTCAAAATAAATTAAAATCTTAAATGTAACACCCCAAACTATGAAACTACTAAAAGAAAACATAGAAATGATTTAGGACATTGCTCTTGGCAAAAATTTTATGGAGAAGACCTCAAAAACACAGGCAATAAAAGCAAAAATAGACAAACAGGATTATATCAAACTAAAATGCTTCTGCACAGAGTAAAGGAAACAATCAAAAGTTGTAAAGATGCAACCTGCAGGCCGGGCGC